GATGAGCCGCAGCCCAAGGTGGTCTTCTGATTCAGAAATGTCAATTCCTGGGAATAAGTTTAATTATTTATTGAGAGCTCCTCTGTGTACAGCCCTACAGAAGGATGGGATCCCAGGAAGCTTACAGCATATATCTAACATAGCTATTAGGATAAGAGGTACTAGAGAATTCTTTGCTGAAACCAGTCTTTGCTGGAAAATGCTGTTTTGTCTCAATAAAATGTTTTGCAAAAACGGTTTCTGGGAACTCGCCACAGAACACAGGCAGGTTTCTGCTGGGGCACCTGGCATCCAATCTGGGCCCTGCCACGTATGTTTATATTTCATTCTTATCACTATAATAAATCAGAGGGAACTAAAGAGGATAAGTGATAAATATACAGGATGCAGAATACATGATATACTTAATGTGAATGTTTTTCCTCAGAAAAAGTCCAGCAGGAACTGGATGCTGTGCTGGGTCCCTCCCACACAATATGCTATGAAGATCGCAAGAAACATCCCTACACAAATGCTGTAGTTCATGAGATTCTGCGTTACAGTAGAGTTGTCTTAATTGCACTTCCCAGGGCAAGTGTGAGAGACACGGACCTGCTGGGGTTTTCAGTCCCAAAGGTACGGAGACATGGCCTATTTTAATATGCTTCTCTTCCATCTAATATTAGAAAGCAATATTAATACAAATATTCCTATTTGTACTAGGAAATTGCATCAACTCATTCCCAAATGCACTGTGATGTTTTTCCTAAATTAATTTTTTGAGTTTCTCCCTATGGCCCTGATTGAGGTAAGCATCCATATTCAGAAGAGAGCACTGAAGAACCTCAAAGCTGCTTTAAAAGGGGTGGGGTAGCTGTCTCTTAGAAGTGCACAGCGTGTGGATCAGAAGGTTACCTCTGCATGAGCCTCTAGCAGTAGCAGTTAGCCAGATCACCCTAACATTGACCTGGATTGAAGTAGGGTTGAAATGGGGGTGTTTTTGCTCCACTTGTATTGTGAAAGCATCATGCAGACATAATGTTTGCATTATAGGTTTATATCAGTATCCCTTGAAAGGGATCTGATTATTATATCCCTTAGGTACATGTTCAAGGTTAAACATATGTGTAAAAGTTCCTGAATAAGGATGCACTGAAGTGCTTTCTTACTTGGGGACCTGAATGTTCGTATCCTGCAAGTGTTGGCAGAGCCCAACAAGAGCCATTCTCCTTGTAGCACAATATTATAAACTAGCTGAAAGCCACAAAACATTGTGATTAATTTTTTATTGCAAGAGTGTTTCTTGAAATACAGAATTTTTAGTTATCCTTTCACCAAATACTGTAACAGAATCAAAACTTCTTACCCTTGAAAGCCACTGTCTTCGCCACTGTTCTGCTGCCTTCCTGAGGCAGCCAGCCCATTCCCAGGAGGTCCCAAGTGGTGGGAAGGCAGCAGGGAAAGTGCACAGGGTGCTGGAAGGCCACCAAGCCTGAGCTTCCCTGAGCACACCCGCGCTTCCAGCACCCCATGCACCATTGGATCTGGTGGGTGCTGTCTGTGAGCTGGGGCTGCACCTGCCCAGACAGCCCTGGGGCTCCCTCACAGTTCAGGGGCTGCGTGACCGGCGGCAGCTCACAGGGGCAGGCTCCGTGGAGGGGGAAAAAAAAGCGGTGAGGGACCTGATCTTTTTTTTTTTCCTCCTGGGCTAGGGACAGGCATTACACACAAACTGGTTTAAGTGATCAGAAACTGGTTTCAACCTGTAACAGAACAGATGTTCAGTGCACATAAACCAGTTTGAAAATGGCTGAAACTGGTTTGAGATAAACCTGGTTGAATGTAGTATCAGATTTAATTGATTTTGGTCAAACCAGTTTATGCAATTTCTGTCCCAGACCCCCTCCTGATTTAAGTTAAATCAGAGTCCTCCAGCATCCCAGATACTTTGCAATCTTTGGCTGGGCTCTGCTCTCTTCTCCAGCCCAGCAGGGCTGACCCTTTCCCTCTGCTCCCCAGCTGCAGCTCCAGCAAAGACTGCAGACACAGCGGGGTCTGCCTGGCTTCCTCCTGCTCCCTTTCTCCCCCTCACCACTCCCTGCTTAAGCAGCAATCCCCACTACCCTCTGCCTTACACAGACACCTCTCAGCATTAGTGGGCATACCACACGCTGGCTACGGTGATGTGGGAGATGAGACAAAGGCAGACAGGACAGTGTCGGCTCAGGGTTTTTGGAGCTAATCAACAGGTAGCTTGTAATGTCCCTCCGTTCCTTCCTTGGAAAAAGTTGTTTAAGAGCTTGAAGGCTGTTGTTTGTTTGATGAGCCGATAAATGCTAACAACTCCCGGTGTAACTCCCTGCTGTGTAACTCAGTGCTCTGTTATCAACAGCGAGGGGGGAGAGGAACCCCTCCCTAATCAGAGCATCCTGCTAGGGCCTGGCAACCCCACCCCCAGCACTATAGAAGGGAAAGGAGGGCTGCTGTAGCACCCCCGGCTTCTAGCCTGAGCCACTGCAGGCATCTGCCAGCATTTCCTCAGTCCAGGGGGGATGTCAGTATAATTACAAACCAGTTTAGCCTAGCCAGGTTAGATTAACCTGCAAAGATTGAACCAATTCAGGCTTGGGCTTTTTGAATGTCTGTCCCTAGCCCCAGAGCCTGCCGGTATCTCCTGTGGCTGAGGAGCAAGTTACCCATGGGCCCTGAGCTGTGGGAGACCCCAGTGGTGCCCTCTGCATTGGCGGCACCCCCCGGGCAGCATACACTCACTGGCACCCTACCTGGGTGGTCCCGGTGGGTGCTGCCACTGTGGTGGGAACTGTGGAGCCCTCCACAGTTCAGGGCCCACCAGCAGCTCGCTCCCCAGCCATGGGAAAAGCAAGCAGGCTCCAGGAAAAAGAAAAAGGATCGGGCTCCTCACCACTTTTTTTTTTCCCTTTGGTGGAGACTGCAGTCTGTCCGGAGCACTCTGATTGGTCGTTTCAGTAAGCATTGTGATTGGCTGCCAAGACAACCAATCAGAGTGCTCTGGACAGACAGAATAAGCCTATTATTATTATAGATGAGCTCTATGTCATACATGTTAAAAGTTCTGCATTTTGGACTGTGGCAATAGGAGGTCTGAGAACAGCTGTAGAAAATACCCCATTTATTCCCACTATGTTTTGATCTGTTCCTAGTGAGACGTGTTTCTCATCCTGTCACTAGAGCTGATCAGAACAGGGAAAAATCACTGTGAAATGTGACATTTCAAAGTTGTTTTCATGCCACTGCTTTCTAATCAGAATGACTTTTTTTTGTTTGTTTTCCTAAGAAAAAATTAGAATCTTTATTTTCCCCTTTTCTACCTTTTTTGCTTTTCTTATGGACTGTGGTACAATAAATGATACATGGAAATTCTTTCTTTCTTGTTTTCCATATTCTTCTTTTTTTATTTTTTATCTTTTGCTTGTCTATAACATTAAAAGTTTTTCAACTTGACCAAAATTGTAGAAAAGCAAAAAGGAAAAGGAGTTTCTTTATCTCTGGTCCCACAAAAAATACACAAGAAAAAAAGAGAGAGGAAAAGGAAAAACAAAAACCATGACATTTCAGATTTTTCAATTTTGCTAATGAAATCTGAAAAGTAGAAAAAGTGAAAACTTTGCAAAAGTGTGTAGTTTCAGAGCAAGGTCTTATTTAGCGTAAAAAAAAGTTTTAGATGAAGAATTTCAATGAGATCTACCTGTGAATGTCTCTATGATGCAGTAAATTATGACTCAAAGCTCTCTGTTTCTGTCTTCACTGACTGATCTAACGAATAGAAATCCTGAACAGAACTGACGCAATGGCTGTTTCTTTGCAGAACACGATCATTTTATCAAATATTGACTCTGTTCTTACGGACCCTGGGCAATGGGAGACGCCTGAAGAGTTCAACCCAAACCACTTCCTGGACAAGGATGGAAACTTTGTGAGCAGAGAAGCCTTCTTGCCGTTCTCCACAGGTAAAAGCAGTGACAACTAAATGACACTGAATGAGGCCTGGTTCTATGACAAACATAGTATATGATCACAAAAGACTGTATCAGACCGCATACACGCCAGAGGGCCCAAATACAACTGCACACTTCCTAACTGTTGAGTGCTTGAGCTTACCCCCATCATGGGTAAGCCCATCATGGCTCACCACCAGGGTCAGGACCTTAAGATCCATAGTAGAGACTTTGGTGGCTGTAGTCTTCGCTGTGGAGCAGCCACGTGCAACTGCTAGTGGTTTCACAGCCATCTGAAGAAAAGGTAAATTGAAAACCAGGTATCCCTGATTCCTGTCCCATTTTAGGAGAGGACGGTTTCGCCATAAAGCTGGCAAGTCAGTCAGCAATACAGAAGTCTTCGACTTCAGGAAAGCTGACTTTGACAAGCTCAGGAAGCTTGTCAGGGAGGCCCTAAAGGGCCACAACCCAAAGGGGAGGGGAGTTCAGGACAAGTGGTTGCTCCTCAAGGGAGCGATCCTGGATGCGCAAGCAAAGTCTATCCCGCCTCGGAGGAAAGGCAGCAAAAGGGCACAGCAGCCCCCTTGGCTCTCCAGGGAACTGGCAGACCTCCTGCGTCTTAAAAGGAAGACCTACAAAGGATGGAGGACTGGAACCACCACCAAGGAGGAATACTCTGCTCTGGTCCGGAACCAGGAAAGCCAAGGCTGCGATGGATGGAACTCCAGCTAGCTACAAATATCAAGGACAATAAAAAGTCCTTTTTTAGATATGTGGGGAACCGAAGGAAAAGCAAGGGCAACATTGGACCCCTGCTAAACCAGATGGGACAACTGACAACCGATGCCCAGGAATAAGCAAACTTGCTAAATGGGTACTTTGCGACGGTTTTTCACCAGTCTCGTGAGACAACCCTGCCCACTGCAGGACAGGGAGGCCCGGGTGAGGGAGATCCCTTACCACCATCAAAGCTGACCTCGTGAAGAAACACCTTGACAGGCTGGATACCTTCAAGTCAGCCGGCCCTGACAGTTTACACCCCAGGGTACTCAAGGAGCTGGCGAGCATCATAGCTCAGCCCCTGGCACGGATCTTTGAGAACTCCTGGCGCGTTGGTGTAGTGCCCGACAATTGGAAGAAGGCCAATGTGGTGCCTATCTTCAAAAGAGGGAGGAAAGTGGATCCGGCAAACTACAGGCCCATCAGCCTGACCTCTATCCTGGGAAAGGTCTTGGAAAAGATTATCAAAGAGGTCATCCTATACAGGCTAGCTGATGGCAATATCCTGAGGGATACCCAGCATGGGTTTGTTGCAGGTAGGTCTTGCTTGACCAATCTCATTTCCTTTTATGACCAGGTGACCTATCATCTGTACAAGGGGGAAGAGATTGATGTCATATATCTTGATTTTAAAAAAGCCTTTGATCTGGTATCTCATGATCACCTCTTGGCAAAACTGGCCAACTGTGGCCTC